TGGTATCTATCTATCTATCTATCCATTTGTAGGGTTCGTTTGCGAGGCACTAAAATTGCTTTTAATTAAGTGGGTTGCCTTTCGTTCGCACTCAGAGAAAATGGACACAATAGGGAGTTTGTAAGTTTTAAAAACATTTAAAACTAATAACGAAATTTAATTCATCCTAAAGTGCTTTTATTTAACAGTTTTCTCTGTTATATAAAGATTACATTAGTGCGTACTTTGTAAAGCTCATGCACCAACTAACTTTTTTCATCTTTTTTTTTTAAAGATTTTTCAACCTACAAACTATCCAGAAATACAATTTGCTGGTTCCCTGGATTGTATAAGACTAAATTGTCAAAACAACTTTCGTTAGCACAGTAAAAGCTCTTGATGACAACAACCAGTCAAAGCGATCAAAGAAAATATCTGTATGATAAGAATCAACGACAATGGTGTGTGAATGCAGCAGTTGCTTAGTCTTTCCATGGCAGTGGTTAGCTTAAGCAGCCTTAAGACGCTCTTCCAGTGCATTCAGCTCATCAAGTACCGCTTGAGGCAGATCAGTTCCCAACTGTTCCGCGTAGTACTTGCGTAGATACTGACATTCCTCCAGCCAATAGTCTTTGGGGATGTCAAACAGCTTTTCCATGTCTGGCTTTTCTGCAAGGCCGTCAACGTTAATGGAGTCCAGTTTAGGGATGTACCCAACTGGAGTCACATCTGCCACATCTTCATTATCACAGCGTCTCAGTACCCATTCCAGAACACGGCAGTTCTCTCCGAACCCTAAAACACCAGGCACCGTTTGTTAACTACACTTCACATAGATGATAAAAAGTCAAGTTTGAATTTTGATATATCGAAAATGGCCTACTTACTGTGAAAACGCTAATTGGTCGAGAGTATTCAGTTAATATACAATAGCGTGTGAAGTTGACACGATAACCCAATTTCTGCAGCAGATATTGGGTTATTATGTAAGTTCAAAGTCTCCCTAGTTTCCAAGCCCCTTGAGCGTGTAGCATTCTCAAACTTTTGTGAACTCCGAAAGAAGTGTTTTCTTTTGCACATTGTTTAAAAAATGAATAATATAATATCTGCATTAATAATTCATAATATCATTCTCAACCTCATCCAATAATTGCTTAAGAGCTGCCAATGCCTAGTTTCCTTATTTGCACCATCTGAGAAGCCTCTTAGGGAGACTCTACAAGTTTTTATAGGGGCTGGTTTACCCTTCTATTCTCACAATTTGAAGAATTTTTAAGAATGAGATACTACTCCATGGACAAACCTACAATTAAGACACTGTATTCTTTCTTAAAAATGTTGTAATGAAAAAGAAAAACAGCATTTTTGCCAATAATTGAGCCATATTAAGACAAGTTTTTCCCATAAGTAACTTCCAGAAACCATCTCTGATCCAAAACATTTCAGTCCCCTAGTTTTCCTTACAATTTCTGTACCATCCTCTGGTGATCACTTTTGAATATAGACACTCTTAGTTCAGTAAGATCTGATTCCCTTTTTACAATGACTGAAATATTTTCCAAGGTATTCAAATCATCAATTGTATCTGAAAACATCACTGTATCAGCATCTTTCCAGCTTTTCAATAACAGATGTATCTTCCAATGGCAGGGCTCAACACTAACTTTTCAACTTACTAGCCAAGTGGCTAGTGATGTTTTTAGATGTTACGACAATTTCAGTCTGTTTACTAGCCAAACTGGCTGGTGGAAACTGAAAACCACTAGCCAAAACTGAATTTCTACCAGTCTGTGGCTAGTGGGCTACTGTGAGTGTCGAGCCCTGAATGGGATGAATTTAATAAAATCAAGACAAGCTCACCTGGCCACAAGCAATGACCATTTTCATCCACACGGAACCAGTTGACATGAAAAATCTTTGGCATTTTGCGGTTTGGCTTCTCCATCCCCAACCAGTGCTCCATGTATTTGCCAAAATTGTATCCAAAGAAGGGCCTCATGGCAAAAGGGTCTCTCATGACAGTTTTACCCTTGTGCTCTGCTGCAGCAGTAGCCTCAGATGACATGGATGAGGCAACAAAGACCCCATGCTGCCAATTAAATGTCTGGTAGACCAAGGGAACTCCCTGGGGGCGTCGACCACCAAATAGTATGGCACTTATGGGAACACCCTTGGGGTTCTCCCAGTCTTTGTCCATGATCGGACAATGATCACTTGGTGCACAGAATCTCGAGTTGGGATGCGCTGCCTTGCTATTACCAGGCTTCCAGTTTTTCTCTCCAAGCCAGGAGGTTATTTCTGGCAGAGGATCTGGCAGGGGCAAACCTTCAAATAAATAAAAAACAATAGGCTGAGAATGGAACCATTCAGATTAAATTACCCAACCTAAAGTAAAGATTGGAGGCAAGTCATACTTTGTGACAAATCTTATCATGTCACTTTGCCACTTTGTCTAATTATCCTCTTTGGCACTCAGTTTACTCTTGAATTTTTTACAAAAATGAAATAATAAAATTTTGACAAATGGATGAAACCAGCTACAATGAAATATATGAAGTTCATATATTTTGAACTGCGGTATTAGATACGTATGATGCACGATCCTCGCAGTAAATAGCACTATTTAAGCAATAGCAAAAATCAGACCTGAAAAAAATCAGGCCTGTACGGGACTCGAACCACTGACCTCTGCAATACTAGTGCAGCGCTCTACCAATTGAGCAAACAAGCCAGTGGTTCGAATCC